TTTTTTTTTTTTTTTTTCCGAGACAGGGTATCTCTGTGGCTTTAGAGCCTGTCCTGGAACTAGCTCTGTAGACCAGGCTGGTCTCGAACTCACAGAGATCCGCCTGCCTCTGCCTTCCAAGTGCTGGGATTAAAGGCGTGCGCCACCATAGCCGGCTGCCCTAGCTATTCTTGAACTTCCTCTGTAGACCAGGATGGAACTCAGTTCCATCCACCTGCCTTTGCCTTCCTAACTGCTTGGATTTAGGGGGTGCGCCACCACTGCCTGGCTCTTATTTTAAATTATCTATATGAGTGTGTCTTTGTGTGCGAGTTCTAACCAAGGCCAGAAGAGGGAGGAGGCTCTACAGAGCATCCATTAGAGATCTGGAGCGCTGGCTGAGACCTGGACTCGGGTACCTGCGAGAGCAACAAGTGCCGCCTCCAGCTCTGACCCTGGAATTTTTTTTCTCCTAGATTCTGAGCCCCCCAAAGCCATCCTGATTCTGGATGTTTCCATGGCACCTGCCTTTCCTTTTGGGAAGCTTTAGGAAATGTCTGTCTGTTCCCAGAGATGTGTCTGTCTGTGTCTTGTCTACTCGTGTTCTTCAGTCCTGGAGTCTTCCTTACAAAGGTCACTCCAGGGAGCAAGGGTTCATCACCAGGGGGAAGAGAGGCTGTAGGCGCTCGGGGAGATGCTCACACCACATCCACAGTCAGAAATCAGGGAACGCATGCGTGCTGGGACTCAGCTCACTTTCCACCATCAGCCAGGATCCAGCCTAGGGGCCGGGCCACCCATAGCGGGCAGGTGTCGTCCCCCCCACCCCCGACAAACCAAGATATTCAGCTCCTAGGTGATTCTAGGGTCTGTCGGTCTGACATTAACCATGAGGCCTATATATTTACATTTTATCTTATTTATTGCTGTTGTGGTGTGTGTATGGTGTGTGTGGATACACCGGCCATGGTGCACAGACGGAGCTCAGAGAACATCGTTCTAGGGTTGCTTCTCTTCTTCTACCTCTGTGCAAGGTCCAAGGACTGAACTCTGGTCACTAGGCCTGGGTGGCAAGTGCTTTCACCCTCTGAGGTATGGCCCTCTTTCCTCCCTTGGCCGATCATCTGTTCCATCTGGTTGTGAGTGTCATCAAGAGCTGATGACAAACATGCTAACTCCAATGTGGAGGCCTTCCACCTCTGAGCCACACGCCCAGCCCCCTCCCTGGGGGGTTCTAGGCTAGCAGAAGACAAAGGCCATGAACTCAGTGTCATCTGCTCCTGAGGGGGTCAGGTCTGTGTCTTGCTTGCTGAGACTTGAGGCCTAGAATCAACCGTCTCACAGTCAGGAGTCCCATCCTGTCCCCAACAGTCTCCAGGTGGACTGTAGCACGGCAGGGGGCTATGCCCTCCGCACCTGCATCCACAGTCTTTGGGAGAGAGGTCATGTTGGGATCGCGACTGGAATGGAAGGATTGGCAGTAGGAAGCTGGGACTGGTCACCCCGGGAGGGAGCCTTTGCTGGAGGGGGTGACTGTGACATGCTGTGTTGACTAGATGCATTGCTTGGCTCTATCCTCCGTTTGTGGCTGCCTATCTCCCACCCTGGTCCTGTTCACACTGCTAACGACCCTTCTCTTCCTTCTTCTCCCCTCCTTTTGCTCCATCCTCTGAACCTTTCTGATGTGCGCCCTCTGCGCCCTGACCAACCCTCCTTCTCTGTGTTCCCTGACTCGGCCTGGCTCCTGTTCCCTGCACCTCCCTGGCCCTGGTACTCTGGTCCGCTTCCCTTCCCTTCCTGGGTGACCCACGCCCCCTTCCTCCCCATGTCCCTTCATCCTGCCCTGGCCCCGTGCTCCGGTCCCCGTCCCCTCACCCCACCCCCGTGGTGTCCTCCCTCGCCCCTGTCCCTCCTACAGCCTGCAAGCGCAAGGAGCAGGATCAACAGAAGGACAGGGCTCTACAGCCCAAGAAACAGCGGCTGGTGTTCACCGACCTGCAGCGCCGCACGCTGATCGCCATCTTCAAGGAGAACAAGCGGCCGTCCAAGGAGATGCAGGCCACCATCTCACAGCAGCTGGGCCTGGAGCTCAACACCGTCAGCAACTTCTTCATGAACGCCCGACGCCGCTGCATGAACCGCTGGGCTGAGGAGCCGGGTGCCACTCCGGGCACCGCGACAGCCACTGCCACCTTCTCCAAAGCCTGAGCCTTCCATCCCCCCCCACCCCCACCCCAGCCCCAGGGAATCGCACACCCCAGCTCCGGGCATGGGGACCCCTCCCCCACCCAGCCAAAGGAAATCCCACCCACCCCCAGGGGACAGGGACCCACCCGAGCCCCCTTCAGTTTTGGACACTAAAAGGACCTCCCTCGAGGGAAGAGTGGGTCAAGAATCAAGCACACCTTACAAACAAAACCCGGGTATTTAAAAAAAAAAAATTAAATAGAGAACCTTTCCTTCCCAGATCCCAGACCTCCTCAAAAGGGCGAAAGCAGACAACTGCCTGTTTCTCCGCCCCGCCTCCCATTTCCCTCACCGTCTCCCTTTTCCCCCCCCCAGAGAACCCTCGCGGGAAGCCCCCCCCCCCCCCCCCCCCCCCCCCCCGCCTCCAGGCCAGGTCTCTGTCCCCTTGCCCCTTCCCAGGAACTGAGACTCGTCCCAAGTGGCCAAAAACCGACAATAAGCCGGATCCTTACAGCACCCATCCCCAAACCTTGCTCCAAACCAAGCCCTCTCTCCGGGCAGGAAAGCCCCTCACCGCGGAGACCCTGGCCGCAACCCCCACCTCAGCGGCCTGCAAATCCTGTGCCAATAGTCCCCTGCCTTAAGCCGGGGAGGGGAGCTACGAGAGCCCCCTGTCTCCAAGGAGACAGTGGCAGATGTGGAGATGAGGGTGGCCAATGGCCGCCTCGCCTCAGCGCCCCTGGTTGAGTTCGCTATGAGCACCTTGCTACGTGAAGAAAGCTACACAGGGAACAATGTCACCAGAAAGCAAAAAACGACACCCCAGATCTTGGGGGCACATCAGAGTCTCCAGATCCGGGGGGCCTTGGATGCAAAGCTCTGGAAATCTCTGGAACTCATCGCTTGGTTTCTGGTTGCTTGGAGTGCACATCTGGGCACCCCACACACCAGAGGACATTGGGGGTAAGCCTCGCCTTGGTGACGCCTCTCTCAGAGGAGGAAGTGGAAAACTACTCGCTCCGTTGTTTTTGCCAAAAAATGTACAATGGGGAAGGGTCAGAAGCAAGGGGGCACCCCTACCCCGCTGCTCAGTCCTCCCCTCGCCTGGGAGCCAGATCCAGGAGGCTGCCTCTCCCTCCCCCTCTGGGGGTTCAAGATCCTGGGAACTACTCTCTTCTGAACCCTATCCCATGGCTGCTCCCAGGAAGGGCGCACCCTCAGTTTCCTTAGAGAATGCAAGAGACCTTTCTAGTGAGAAGAAGAAAAGGAACCTCCCATCCTGTAAAGGCTACCTCACTGAGTCCATGCTGTGATTCAAATATCACGTCTGATACCAAAGATTCCCCCACCCCCCACAAGGGTTTGTGCTGGAAGCCAGGGTGTCCCCACCCTCACCCCATGGCTGTCCCCACCCGAGAGAGAGAGAGAGAGAGAGAGAGAGAGAGAGAGAGAGAGAGAGAGAGAGACAAGAGGACAGCGAGGTCGGTGAGTGCCTTTTTATTGAACCAAAGATGTGTGTAGAGAGTCCTCTGTCCTAAATGACTGGCTGCTCTCCCATGGAAGCAACTTGGATGGATGCTTCTAGAACCTTCTGGTGTGAGGCAGAATGCTCAGAGTGAAAAGAGCCCCCCCCCCGTTCCCACTCAGCAAGAGACAGGTCTCCCCCCCACAGACACACTGAGACACGCACACACCTAACACACACACACACACACACACACACACACAAAATCATCCAGAACTCTAGTTCTGAAGGACTCAGCGCCCTCTTCTGGTCCTCCCAGGCACCTGCACTCTCACACACCCATACACGATTAAAAATAAAATATGGTTTTTTTTGTTTGTTTGAGACAGGGTTTCCCTGTGTAGCCCTGGCTGTCCTGGAACTCAATCTATAGACCAGTCTGGCTTTTAACTCAGAGATCCGCCTGCCTCTGCCTCCTGAGTGCTGGAATTAAAGGTGTGCGCTACCACAACCCAGCTAAAAGTAAATCTTTTAAAACACACCCATTAGCTCCCATCTGTGAGGACTCAGGCGCCCCTCCCACCTGCACTAGCACTGAGTCCTCCCCTTCCCTCGCTCCCACACTTGTGATGCAGGGAATAGACAGAGCCTGGTGTGGTGGTCACAACTTTAATGCCAGCATTCAGGAGGCAGAGGCAGGAGGATCTCTGAGTTCACATGGTAAGACCCTGCCTCAAAAGATCTATGACTCAAGTTAGAAAAGACCAATATATGTGTGCATCTGCATCTATACGTTTGAGGGCAAGGTCTTGCTCTGCAGCGAGGCTACTGTCCAGGCTGAGCGCCCCCTCCCCCAGCCTCCTGAAGACTAGGACCACAAGCGTGCAGCAGCAATCAGACCAGACTGAGTTTTGTTTTTCTCTTTGTCTTTTTCTTTTTTGCTTTCCTTTCTTTTTCTTTTGTTTCTGGTGGTGATGGGGTTGGAATCTAGGAGCTAGTATATTCTAGGCAAGTATTCACCCTTGGCCACACCTCAGCCCCTCTACCTCCTGACCACGCCCCCAACCCACACTGGGGGATTCTAGGTGGGGCTCCACCCAAACCACCAATGGAACCTTCCAAATACCATCACACACGCATGCACGCACGCACATCAGGACCCTCTCCAGGTCCCGATGGGCCTCCATCCTCCCACTTTGCCCCACACACCCTTCTGGTCCTTCCCTACCAAAGATCTTTCCTACAGAGGGAGCCCACAGTCCAGCACAATTCCTTCTAGCCTTTGACAATTCTCTCTGAAATACCTCAAAATATTTAATGTATAGTTTATGTGCTAAAAAAAAAAAAACCTTAGCTAGTTTTGGGAACATGTGACTCGAAGCTTTATACCGTTAAATTATAATTTTGAAAATAATGGCATGTTTATCTCTGATCGGTTCCATGGGAGACGCACTGAATGTCAGGGCAGCGAAGCCGGTGGTCCCTGCGAGGGCGAGGGGGGACCGGTGGCCTTCACAGATTTCCTATGTACAAGTCTCTTAGGAAAGAGAGAAAGGCGTGCTCCATGGCTGTACCTCTCCCTGGCTTCTTCTGTTTCCTTGTTTTATGGAGTCGAGTCTTCTAAGAGTATTTATGATTCTATGTGTTCCGTGTTCAAATGTAATTTAAGAAAAAAATAAGAAAAATGAAAACCAAAAAGGTGATGGAATTTGACTCATGTCTCATATATTCTGATGACGAAACATGGAGGGGGTATCGCATTGGCCCTGTCCCGGGACCCTCTGCTTACGGGCCCACTCCACTGCACTGGCCCTGAGTTAGAGAGGGCTCCTGGAGCAAGCCAGACCTGAGCACCGTGGCCATCGCTTCCCCTCCTCCAATCCCGCCAGCTGTGTGTCCATCCTGGCGGAGGGAGGGCCATCGCTTCCCCTCCTTCTCCTTTGCACCTGGGGGGCCAGTGGGTGGCTGTGGACCCCTTGCCCCACCCAGGTTCACTTGAGCACAAACGACCCACAACTAAGAAATTCGTGAGTGTAGTTAAGAAGCTTGGGTACACCCCATCTTCCCCAGATGCAAAAGGACTTTCAGAAGCCCAGTCACCTGTCCTCAGACGCTCTCAGCTTCCCCAGCATGGGTAGTACCTTTCTGAAGTCACGCGGGGACTCTGGAGAACAGGGCTCTGTGCAGCCCCATCAGTGGAGAAAGAAGTGAGGTACAGGCCACCTTGTGATTCCTGTGCTTTCTGCCCCAACCCTTCCCAGGGAGGTCTCAAGGATGCGGGACAAAAGCTGACTTCTAAGGACAGGTCCCATGTCATAGGATTGGGGTGAAAGAAGAGCTCAGTCTCCCACCTGCAGGATTACCCCAAAATGGTTCAACCAAAGATTGGCCATGGGGCTGGAGAGATGGCCCAGTCGTTAAGAGCATTGCCCGCTCTTCCAAAGGTTCTGAGTTCAATTCCCAGCAACCACATGGTGGCTCACAACCATCTGTAATGAGGTCTGGTGCCCTCTTCTGGCCTGCAGACATACACACAGACAGAATAATGTATACATAAAAATAAATAAATATTTCAAAGTTTGACCACCAGGTACAGGGCTTATCCTGGGGGCCTGTATGGCTCCCTGAGTGTGGTGTTGGGGGTGATCTCTGGCCAGAGTGGTGTGAGGGACCTCCCAAGTATTCTCAGAGAAGGAATCAGTCAAAGGCTCCAACCCTAGAGGAAGACAGAAGGGCAGCCGGTCCCCACCCTGCCCTTGCCACAGGCAAGAGAAGCCGTCCGCCATTAACCACGCTGTGTTGCTTTTGTTCTTTTGGTTTTTTCCTTCAATAAAGCATTCCCTAGTCATTCAGCTACATAGCTGTGCTGGCCAACTGTGGACTGGTACAGACCAGGAAGAATGGGGCTCCGCCACCCAGAAGGTAGCGAGGCAGGGGAGACCTTGAGGTGGGCCCACCACACCAGGACCTGCTTCAACAAGGGAGGTGGCCTGGAGGAGGAAGGGGCCCAGGTGGGTGGGGTGGAGACTGAGCACTTTCCTTTCTCAAAAGCAATGAAGCCCCATGAATTTAGAAGGGGGATAAAAGAAAAGCCCACAAAAAAGTTTCCTGAAATTTAACTACTTGACCAGTAGGGGTCAGTGTTTTGATGATTTGGGGGTTGCTGGGGTTGGTATTTTTGTTTGTTTTTCAAGCCAGGGTTTCTCTGTAGCTTTGGAGCCTGTCCTGTAACTTAGCTCTGTAGACCAGGCTGGCCTCGAACTCCCAAGTGCTGGAATTAAAGGCGTGCGCCAACACTGTCCAGCGGATATTTCTTTTTTTAAGTCTGGAAAGGAATGTTCCCTGGCTTTTACCAAAAGAGGAGTTGGAGAAGGAGAGAGCCCAAAGCAGCCCTGGGGTCAGAGGGACCCTGTTTTATTAGAAAGGCAAGTGTGCGGCCCCCCTTGTCTTTGGATGCTGTTTGTTGACTGTCTCTGCCTACTCCTGTTGGGGCTGGGACGGGGGTAGTTGCTGTATACTTGAGCAGGGTGGAGATCTGACTTGAAAGGTCCCTGGTACCTGCCATGCTGCCGGGGCTGTGTCTTGGCCTTCTGCTCACTCCCAGGTGAAGGTTCCACTGTACTGGATGACTGGGGATCTCCCAGCAAGGGACTTCTGGTCAACTGGAGGTGTGGCTATGTTGTTCCTTGGGGACTTCCAGTTGGCTTGGCTTAGGAGAGGGTGGGTCCTTCCAGGGAAGTCCCTTCCAAGAGGAGGACCTGACGTCCAAGCGCTCTGGTTGGCTCTCCAGGGTGTATCGTGAAGGCACACTGTGGAAGGCCTGGTCATCAGAGGAGGACACCGACATGGCGCTTGGGGTGGAGGGTGGCTTCAGAGTGCCAGAGGGGTCCAAGTACAGAGTGGCCTGTTTCTCTGTCTGGAAGCTTGTATCGGTGTGGACCTCCTCCTGGGATGCTTTAGCATGATGCTGCAGTTTCATCTTAGCCAGGATGGAGATCCTTCGTGGATTAAATATCGACTCCTTGTGCTGTGGGGGTTGCTGTGGGGGTAGGTCTTCTTCAGATGGGTTCGGGGACTTGCTGATGGAGTCCTCCATGGACTTGCGCAGGATAGTGCCCTGGGTGATCAGGTCTGCGTAGCCCTCACGGTGGGAGAAGGCATAGCTGGATCGGCGGGCAGGGATGCCGCGGCGAAGATGCCTCAGGGCAGGCTCCACAGCCACTTCCTCTTCCTCACTTGGGACCTCCTCCTCCTGTAGAGCAACAGCCAGGGATAGCAAGGTGACCATCATGCTCCCATCCCCCCCACACACTACAAACAGAAATGTAAATTTAGAGAGAGTCTTTCTGTGACTCACTCCCACTGGGCAATCAGCAGTCTTTCCCTGGGACCTGATTCAGGATTTTATATCAGGTAACAAAATTTTAGATGGGCTGTGGTGGCGCAGGCCTTTAATCCCAGCACTCTGGAGGCAGAGGCAGGAGGATCTCTGTGAGTTCGAGGCCAGCCTGGTCTACAAGAGCTAGTTCCAGGACAGTCAGGGCCACACAGAGAAACCCTGTCTTGAAAAACAAAAAAAGAAAGAGAGAGAGAGAGAGAGAGAGAGAGAGAGAGAGGGAGGGAGGGAGGGAGGGAGGGAGAGAGGAAGGAAGGAAGGAAGGAAGGAAGGAAGGAAGGAAGGAAGGAAGGAAGAAAAGAAGGAAGAAAGAAGAGAGCCAATGCCTCCGGCCCCTTGGGTGCTGGGTACACATAACTGCACAGACAAAACATCCACACACACTACAAATAAAAAAAGTAAATAAATCTTAAAGTTTCTTTTTTTCCCCAATTGCCCCCTTAGCCTCATTTAAGGGCATTTTCTGGCTCTACACACATTCAGAAAGTTGTCCAGCTGTTACTTCCAGAACCTTCCATCATCTCCAATGAAGCCTCATTCGGCTGCCTTCTCTGCAGCCCTTGTCACCCAGTGATCCACTGACCACCGTTCCCCTGCAGAGAGTCCCACACTGTGTGTCCTTTCTGTCTGCCTCTCTTGCTGACCACAGCATCTCTGGGGTCCTTCTCTTTGGAGCACATGACCGGGCCACGTCAGCCCACGGATGGATACTGGAGCCTACTTCCCTTCTGGCCTAAACTACCCCGAAGTCGTCTTCCTCCCTCCCAGGACTCTGAATGACACATGGCAAAGACCCCAAGGTGTCAGGAGTGTTCTAAGATATGGCTGTGCTCAGGGATTTGAGCCCCCAGGACACTGCCCCAGGCAGGACACGGTCAGTGTCTGTGACAGCTGGGAGGGGCTGGGGTCCCATGCTCGGCCTCACCTTGGGGCGCAGTTTGGAAACAACTCTGTGGATGACGCGCAGAGCCAGGACTGGCAGCGTGCTCAGGGCCACGTTGAGGACAATCACCAGCAGGCTGCTGGGGTGGCTCAGCACGTTGTAGTCAGCAACTGGAGACAACGGAGAAGCAGACAGGTGGGGTGAGCTCGGGCGTCCCTCCCACCCCTCAGCTTTCTCCCTCCCTGCAGCCCTCCTGGCCAGGCCTCCCCACACACACAGGAAGCTCACACAGGAATGGGAAGGTCTTTGGTGAGATCTTGAACAACCACAGACTCTGAGTGAGGCTTGTCATGATGACATAGGAGGCAAGGCTGATCACGATGCAGCCCACACACAGGAGCGTCCAGTACTTGATGACAAGAATAACCTGACGGGAAGCCAGGAGGTCAGTAACAGGAGGCAGGACGCAGAGCCCCCAGGTCAGTCTAGGCTGAGGACCCAAGTTCCAATCTCCAGCACCCATGTAGAAGCTGAGTGTGTGCTCTGCATGCTGAACCCCAGCACTAGGGCAGGGGTGCCCTGAGGATGGGCCGATCCTCGGTGCTCAGTGGGAGAAGCGGTCTCAGACTGGAGGCTGAGGAGTCCCAGGAGACATCAGCAAATAAAGTACTGGCTGTGTCAGCCTGAGGACCCGCATAGGGCTGCTGGCTGGGTGTGAGTACGCACACCTGCCATCCTGGCCAGCCCATGGCTAGATGGGAGGCCGTGGCCAGGCAGCCTGACCACATTTGCAGTTGTTCTGTAATCGCTTCCTTCCAGACAGAAGCACTCTATTCCGCAGGAAACTCCATGAGCAGGAAGGCAGACAACACAAAAAGCTTCACGAAGTCCCTGAAACTGACCAGATTCACTAGGTCCCTGCCTCCCAGAGTGAGACCAGCAGCCAGCCTGGAAGACAGACACTTGCTGAGCTGCCTGGAGAGGCTTAGAGCCAGAGTCGGACTGTCTGCGGTGCTCCAGCTTTCGGGAGCTGTCACCCAGACTGGGGTGGGCTTGCACTGGTTCACCATGCTGAACTTCAGTGGAATCTCTACTTGGGCCTGTTGTGGGCTCCCTATCTGGGGTGAGTAGACAGGAGATGTCTTCTCACACGACAGCAGCAATGAACAAGACCATGCCTTAGTCAGAGCACACATATGCACAGGCACACATGAACAAGACCATGCCTCAGTCAGAGCACACGTATGCACAGGCACACATGAACAAGACCATGCCTCAGTCAGAGCACACGTATGCACAGGCACACATGAACAAGACCACGCCTCAGTCAGAGCACACGTATGCACAGGCACACATGAACAAGACCACGCCTCAGTCAGAGCACACGTATGCACAGGCACACATGAACAAGACCACGCCTCAGTCAGAGCACACGTA